GAACTACAACAAGGTTTATCTATTGGTTTACCAGTTTGGGATTATTTATTTTTACCAGTTTGGGATTATTTATTTTTTTCAGTTTGGGATTTCAAGTCATGTACATGTACAGTCCGTAGATCTACGCGTACCGTAGTTCTCAGCTGCAGACGTACCTGCAGTTTTTTTTGTTTTGTTTTTTAACACTACAGCCTCTTTTACGGGCAAGATTAAAAATTAAAAGCAACACAATGATGAGAAAACAAGAGGGGTAAACACAATAACTTTATCAAAGCTGTTGACTCACGCATACACACATACACACACACACACACACACACACACACACACACACACACACACACACACACACACACAGAGAGGATAACAATGATACTCAGTACCTAGACTGCAGGAGTTGCAAAGAAAGTTAAATCAATGCAGCCTCCGCGTTTGCGAGGACAGCAGACTGATCATTGACGCGGCGCATCCGCCGGGCACCGCGAAGGCAGGCAACACTGGCACGCAGGAGACCAAAACCAAGACGACAACGCAGCAACGCCATCACCATTGCGTATGGCTCTCCGGATTTCTCTGCAGACAGAGCAGCAATTCGCTTGAGAAGAGCGGAAGCAGCTCGACCGGCTCCACCTGTGGCTGAGAATACGACAGGTACGAAGGAGGCTCGCTCAACTTCTTGCACCCTCTGACCATACCTGCGACGCTTCTCTCGCTCATGGCTCTGGTAGCGAGCAGCGAGAGAAGAGGAACGGTTTGAAGGAGCGAAAGGGTTAAACACCCGTACATCAAGATAAACGCGTTCAAACCGTCCTCCCCACACGCCACTCGCCGCCACATCCAGACGGGCTTGATCCTCGGTGGACGCCGTCCGGTAGCGGAAAAGCTCGCCGGTTAGGGGTTGGAGATGAGGCTCTACTTCTACGCTGTGTGCCACCTTCTTCAGTTGGCCAGCGATGATGTCCCGTACCTCATTGTGGCGAAGCGTCGGGAAACCACCAGTGGGGCAAGAGAGAGCATGCTCAACAGAGAAGGTGGCACCACAGACACAAGTAGAAGGGAGCCGTGCAGGGTGCCAGCCATACCGCAATGCCAGACCATCGCGAAATTCACATTTTGACAAGCTGAACCCATGCCGACTGAGGGGGCGACACGTGAGCCAGCTGGACGCACCCGCCTCACTGCCAAGGTTGATGGAGTGCTGGAGGGCAGAGGAGGCTCGGGCGGTGAATTGGCGAAGGGCTTCCGTGGCAGCTGCCTTCACATCCTTGCGGTTAGAGGCCTTCAGGCTGGCGACCTCTGCCAAAGAGTCGCCCAGGTTGAAACTCTGGGTGAGGATGTTGGCAACCATAGGAGCAGTGATGGCACGCGAGGATTGGTACTGGGCCGACAGAGAGGTGGGATCCAATATTCCTAGACCACCGTTCCGGCAGGGGAAGGAGAAAAGGGTGCGGAGCTCAGAGCTGATTTCCTGGCCTGTGAGAGCTGGGAGGAGCTTCGTGGCAATGACCCGCTCCAGTGAAGCAAGGCCAGCAGACGCACTTTCGAGTACCCGACAGAGGAAAGACCAGCGGCTGGAGAGGCCTCGGGTGAAAGCAGAATAGGCTGCTTGTGGCTGAGGCAGGGCGGTTGATGTCAGTGATTCGACCTGCCCACACCAGTCCCGGGCTTTCTCGTGTACGTAGTCTTCGACAAACGCAGGTGTGCCTATGGCTGAACCCAGGTAGCGGTTGCCTGTGGCGGTGATGTGGATGCCTGTGCCGTCGAACAGCTGGACAGCTTCATCGTAGTCGTCAGGCTTCACCACGAGCACGGACTTTGCTGGGTTGAGGAAGTATCCGAAATCAGGCCCTCTGTCGTGCAGTTTGTCCCACCAGGTTCGGAGAGGAACGAGTCGGCCACCTGCGGACGAATCGTCCGCATACCATAGCTGGCAGGCGCCGGGTGTTACGATCTCCCGGATGAGAGGGACTACGCCGATCGCATATAACGGCATCGCAATGGGGTCGCCCTGTGTTGTGCCCTCATTGGAATGAATACATTCACCATCCACGTAGAGATTGCTGGGCTGACGGTAGGTGTTGATTACAACCGTGGCAAACGAGGGGCATAGGTGCTGCACATTCCGTAGGCAGGCGGAGCGATTGATGTTGTTGAACGCATTAGACGTACCTGCAGTACATGTATACAGGCTACGCTACATACCGGTACATGTAAATAATTCATCATCACAATCATTCATGCATTGAGCCACAACTTGCACAAGGCACAATACTCAATAGGCCTTGACGGATTATGCTAGCATAATGTTTCGCATAATTCCTACCAAAATCGAATAATAGCATAATTAGAGGCAAATTGCATACGAATCGCATAAATTGGAATAATCTGCCCGTTCGAATCAAATTCCATATAGTTGTACGTGTTCTACAAGTAAAAGTACAAGTAGATGGACCAGGAAGTCGTAGGTTTACGACTCCCTTGATAACATGTCCAATCAGTGACGGTCGTAGCTAGGTCAGACGGTGCGTTGAACCGTTGAACTTTTGCTACTACAGTACAACGTCCTCTACAAAAAAATTCCCCTGTTATTTTGCACAGAACCATCACATTAGCAGCACATGTGAGCTTGATGCGGCATAATTTGATAACTTTTAGCATAAAAATAGCATAATTCTGCATTTTTTCAGCAATGCGAAAAACATAATTTCACGAAAATATTAGCATAATCCGTCAAGGCCTAATGCACAAGCTTGGTGCAGACTGTCGAGTGGTCACCTGGTTACCATGTTACTTGAGTTTGAGTGGGTTTATTCACAACGCCGGCAATGAATTAAAGTAAGAACCAAAGCAAAAAGACAACCCAAATAATTCGGAAATACTCTAATTTCAGAAATTTTGGGTGCTCAATATTTTCGGTATGAGGGCAACAGGCCAGGTTAGGTGAACAGAAATTTTCGGTACAGAGAAGCAGTTCCCTATTGGATTATGTGTGTCTGTGTTTGTTCGGTGTATTGAAATTTTAGGTATGAAACAGACACACCGAAAGTACCGAAAATAAAAGTACACCGAAAATTTGTGAAATTTATACAGTAAATAGAACACTGAAATGTAAGATTACGGAGGATTAGCAAGACGAAATTCGCGTTCGCGTTCGCAAACATTTTTCAGTTCGCGAACTGGATTGCGAACTTTCGCATTTTTCGTTCGGAAAAGTAGTCGGAACACGAATCGTGGATTCGTGTCAGGGCAGTCATAAATTTACCACGCTGTACTGCCTACGCCGTGTCAACATCATGCATGTGCGAATTCTGTTTGCTAATCCTTCTCATAACGCGAATTCCGTCACTGAGTTCGGCTTTCTTTGGAGAGCGAACGCGAACGCGAATTTCGTCTTGCTAATCCTCCGTATTGACAAGAAACCGTTACCTTAATCGCCTACCGGGCATGGATAGGCGAAGTCACACCTCTGCCCGCGTCAGCACAGTCGGCGGCCAATATGCTGCAAATGCAAAATGGGTGAATGACTATGTAAAGCCTCCTCCTCAGTAAGTTGCAGCCCCCCCCCCCCCCCCCCAAAGGCTAAAGCACGTGAATGCGAGTGGTTACTACATTGTACATGTATACACTGTAGTACAGTCTGTATCGGCTATAGCGTACCCTTTTGATTTCCGTGATTTTATCACTATAAACCGATGCATCACTATAAACCGATGCATCACTATTATGCGATACGATCGATTTTTTTTCGATCGACATACATGCACATGTATGAAAGGCAAGGAAATACTTCCAGCATGCATGGTGTTTTGACAAATGAGCATGCAGCGCTGCTAGACAGTGCCCACATTTCCATAAAACATTCTGTTATGTACATGTATGTACATGTACATGACTTGTATTTGTATAAAAATAAGCAACGTGAAGAAAGAATCAAGCTCCGTCAAGCTCCGTATGAAGACATCCAAGAAGAAGATTGCCTGATGAGTCCAGCGGGGACGAAACGTACGTCGCAATCGAGCTATGTCGTTGCTGTGTCATCATCTATGTGCCATGCGCTACTTGATGTACCAGCCTGCTATGCCGGATACCGCCAGCCATGCATCGACCAGGCGCCAGGCGCGAACTGATGGTGGTGGTGGTGAGAAGGAGAGCTCTGTGCCAGAACTTTGCAGCCTAGAGAGCGTGTGTGGGCAGGCGTGTGTTTACAGCCATATTGCCAGGTGTGTCTTTACCACCATATTTATCAACCATAAGTACAGCTGCAGTGGTGTCTTCAACTTCATTCTCCCAACGTGAAGAAAGTAAAAAAATAGGGCCTTTGATATTATTGCTACATGTATTAAAGTTATCACTATAGCTGATAAGTGTGTTATGCATGTTTTGATTCTTTGTTGCCATCATAATATCCGATAATTATATCATTTTATAATACATCCGATAATATTGGTTATGAAATAAATATTGCGACAGAGCTTTCGGCCATATTTTCAATTCATTGCATTCCCAACTCATCACAACCACGCGCTCTTCAGCCGAACCATACAGACACCAGCAAGGACACTTCCGTTGAGAGATAATAATTATTGCTCCACGCCTCTAGACAGCTGTTTCGCTCCCTGTCGGAGCTCATCAGTAGAGGATGATAATGATGATAATGGAGGAATGATCATTCTTATACACCAGAAATGGCGCAAGTCCTAGCTTTGATTTTATCCATGTACCCCTGTGCTTCTAGAATCAATTACGACCCCCCCCCCCCCCCCCACACACACACAAGTACCGTAAAGTACCGCCAGAGCGCCCCACTATCTCTTCCTTTCGTGGTCGTATTGTGGAGGTGGTGTCTTGTCTGTAGACCATAGAACACAAACCTTGTGCACACATACGCGTTGTGCAGTCAATCCGTACTCAATTTACCTTCGAGCGCTCGAGCGGACGCGAGATCCACACAAACCCTGCTAAGTATGACCTTAGTACACTAAGGTTCTCACACCGTACAAACTTGGTTGCACTCTGCCATGCAATTATCCTTTCCCTGGCTGTAGAATCAAGGTGAGGCGCTCTCGCCAGACGGGCCGCTCTGGTGGTACTTTACGGTGCTAGGAAATGGCCTAAAACATAATACCTCGTCCTGTTTTTTTTCTCTCCAGTTTATGCACTCTTTTTTCAGAGAAATGTTTGCATGCGGCATGCTTTTTTCTTCATTCCTCTGCTCATCCTTTTTTTTGCATTATTTTTTGTTCCAACGCATGCCAGCAATGGAGTCTAAGGGAAGACCGTCTAACAGAGCCTCGCAGACTTGTTTCCTTGGTTAGCACAGAGGTAGAGGTACTGTGATGCTGCATAGCCGTTACTGGGGAGAATCAAAATCTGAATGTGGACCTTGAAAATTAGACACAAGATGTTCAGACCCACCATCTGGCAGACTATGATATTTTGTGGCTGGGTATGTGAGAATTTCAATATATTTGTGTGCTTTGTCCCTCTCTGCTATGTTGCAGCCTCCGTGCCATGTTTGGAGAGAAGAATGTAGACGAGGCAACCCGCAACCTCAGCTATGCAATGCTACGCCACAAGGACGGTCACTTGGCCCAGTCAAAGTAGGTAAAACCTGTTTTTTTGTTTTTTTGTTTTTTTTGCTTTTCGACCAAGGTGTTGAACAAGCACGAGTCAAGTTGGCCGTCTCCAGAAGTAAACGACACTAGACCGTCATCCTTGGCAGCGGAACGACAACAGTTCTCGTACTGCCGAACGGTATCATCACGGCGACCGACTGCGTTGACTTTGGTATTCACAAGCAGCTGCAGGTCATGGTTCAGCCCGGTGCAAGCAGGTGCAGTGCCATCTCTCCACCGATCATGGTCGCAGTAAGCCATCGGCGGTTGCGAGCCAGCTCTTACCGAACAGGGAATTTCTCCCAACACTTTCTGGATAAGAATGAGAAGGAATAATTTGGTGTCGATGCGGATAGGTAGGAGATGTCGCTCGCTAACCTTCTTGGCTCTTTTTAGTCCCGTTATCACCAAACCCAACCTTGACTTTGGCTCCATCGACATGTTTGTTGCTGTCTGAGAAATCGGCATTGACGAGCGTCACGGGGTGCTAAGCGAGCAACAGAGTACATGTACCAATTCCTTTAGGAAGTGACCTGCAATACTGATGACAGCAGCATTTAGCTCACGAGCAACAAATGACTACTTTGGAGCATTGCACTGAAATTTGCGAGTCGATGGCTGCGCGGTTCCTTTGCGATTTGACAAGAATATCTCAACTTTCACAAGGAAGTAAGGGGCCTCGCAGCATACCAATGTTGCTGGGAATGACTTGTTTTTGCCTTGGTAACCTTGCCAGCCATGGCTCCAGCAACATCTCCACATTCGACCAGATGTTGAGTAGCCCCCTTCCCCCCCCCCCCCCCCCCAGACAGCAGGAACATTATCAAGCCATCAGTATCTTCAACACTTGACGGGAATGTGGAAGATCCGCTAAACTGAATATAATCCTCTCTCCAGATCAGAAGCATCATGAACTAGGCTAGGCAATGCAGGCAGCACATGACATGCTCTATGTCCCAGTTTGGGGTTGGCGGTTGGTTGAAGTTGAGAGACTTTGTCAAACATAGCCACACATTCTCCACACTAATTCACTTTGTCAACAAGCAAGTTCATCTTTTCTGCTGCTATCTACTTGAAGTAGACTGATAAGTTGAAAGCCTGGATATGTCCTGCTGTTCTTGATTTCTGTAGGATATTCCATTACATGAAGGAGCGCGAGTGGTACGAGGCTGCTTGGATCGCTGCACTGAATTCCACATCTATACCAGGTATCCAAGCCATTTTTGTTTTTGTTGTATGTTTTTGTTGTTGCAAAAGTGCTCGATACCACGAGGGCAGATCCAAATGACATAAGCTTACAATAGAACAAGGCTGTATTTTTTGCTGTTACTCCAGGTTTCTGAATAATCATGAAGCTCGGAATGACAGCAAAACTTGAATACAGCCTTGTGTGTGATGTTCCATTGCAAACTTGTACCAGGTATACTATACTTGTGTATGTTGTTGGTTGACAACATGTAACGAGGCGGAGACCACCGTGTTTGGAAACAGCGATCTTACGACTGTTTCCGAACCGTGACGGTGGTCTCCGCCTTGTCACATGCTGTCAACCAATAACATGACGATTGTTTCAACAAAACAAGGTTTATCTAATACAGGTGATATACTATGCACATGCTCCTGAAGTCCAAAAGCCTCTTTTACGGGCAAAAACAAACACAATGGATTAAAATGCACTACAAAACTGGAGAAGAAATCAGGAAAAATGCATGCGTAAAATGCATGTGTAAAATAAAGATTTCAAACGCAAACTGAAAGAAAACTTCGAATCAAAACTTGATGAAAAATGCTTATCAAAGAACTCAATCAATGAACTCAAAGAAAAACAAAAAGTTTCAAAAAGAAAAAAAACATTGTACCGTATGTCAGCGCCTTTAAAGCCATGGCCTTATATTCGAAACACCGCTGCTGTCCTAGCTATTTTAGACGCAAAACGACTCACCTACTACGCCATGCCATAAAAGTCAAAGTCCACACAGAAATTTAAACCTAAATCCACTTGTTCGCCCTTCCTGCTGGGCTGTACATATTCCTCAAGTACAACACATACTTCAAATGTCATTTCTTTTATAAAGCCGATGGCTTTATAGCTGAGACTGGCTTTATAATCGAGTATGCCGCCATGGCTTTCAAGGTGCGGACATACGGTATGAATTAATAAGAACACTAATAACAGCAGTCAAGTGCCAAGTCAGTCGGCAGGAAGCGCGAGCTCCGACATTCGGAGCAGACACTTTCTTCACTAATCACCGCCGATGTCGCAATCTTGCGTACTAATAACAACAAAGAAACAACAAATATAAAAAATAAACTTGATGGACAAATGATAATACGGAGTACAAGATCAGAAAATTACGTAACAAGGCAAGACTCAGCCACCACGACAGAACTATCCACGAAACGTTGGACTGGGAAACCACGACGAGAACGAGCACCGCGGATACAAAGAATGCTGGATCTCAGCAAAGAGAAGGAGAGACGGGCACGCAGCAGACTAATGGCAACAGAGTATACGCTACCCGAAGACTCACATTGTAAGCGACAAAGACGCTCCAAGAAAATATTGCACAACGGACTACAACCACCATGAGTACCAAACACTGGAGGGGTGAAGGAACCACGCTCTACATTAACAACTCTCTCTCTTCATACTCACGACACTTGGGATCCTCATGTTGTTTGTAGAGCGCTGAGACATTTGGAGCGATAGGAAGGGGCATCTGGGGCAAAAAACCCTTACATAAAAAAGGCCTCCTCCCCACGGCTCCTAATCCCCCGAGCGCTCACATCGAGTCTGGCCTCCTCATGACGTTCGCTGTTCGAAAGCGAAATCGCTCGCCAGCTAGAGGTACGAGCGTCGGTCCCCGTACCAACTGCGGAATAAACCATTGTAAGCCCCTCCACCAGGAGATCCCGAACCTCAATCATTGTGTCGTCGGGTAGGAAACCCCCACGACTACAACAAACTCATGTCCGCATATGCAATACTCAGGCGTACGCTGCAAAGACTAGCCATATCACAAAGCAACGGTGTCCTGAAAATCTCTTCGTGACAAACTCAAACCATGCCTCCTAATACTAGTAATAGGTATAACAGCCAGCCACGACAAGGCACCCTTCTCCGATAATTCAAGAATACGCCTCCTGTCGCGATCGTCCAACACTTCAGCAGCCACCCTCGCCGCAGCCCCTGCTTCACGTCTCCGCAGAGCATGAGTCTGGGCCTTCCGCTCCCGCACAGCGTTCACCATCAATGCCTCAGGAGCGGAAGCAGCGTGGCCACTCCCAGACACTCAATGCCCGTGATTCGGAGAGGTGGCAGGTCCAGAGGGTACATGTACCGTCTCCAGGTAGCCACCTACAATGCACAGTACCCAGAGGCTCCGAAATATGCCGAGACTGCTGATGCGCAGAAATAGGCACCAAATCCGGGATAGCCATACCGCCATGCCGAATCGGGAGTCTCAACACTTTCAAATCACTGGCAGACAATGTGGGTTGCCCTACAACTACTGGCAAAAACACTGAGAGAGATAGGCTTCCATAGGAGCAAGTACCTCCTCACCTAGGTCCATAGCCCGAAGCAAGAATGTCCATTTATGTCTCAAGCCATGCGTCGTTGCAGCATAAGCCGTATGAGGCTCCTCCGCCGCAAACTCTGTCAGAACCTTCGGCTCTTTAGTTCACTCATCCGTTCGCTGTCTTGCAAAAGCATGATGAGACGCGGAGGTACTCAGCCCAGCACCAAGGTAGCGTACACCATCAATCTGTACAACAATAGGCGTGTCTCCAAAGTGCTCGCTGGCAGCCACCTTAAGACCAGGCTTCACAAGCAACTGGGTCTTACTTTCATTAATGATGTATCCATAATCTTCACCATGAGTTTTGAATTGTACATGCTCCTGGTTATTGTTCTGTAAAACCTGTTTTTAAAACGCGACCGCTCTGTCGTGTAAGCAGCTGAAGCGGTCTCTAATGGCAGGTGATCCCCAGGCTTCATACATATCTGAGACGTGCCATCATGGACTGGAATCTGCCACTTCTTTGGTCTCTTGGACGTGTTGTCACTTTGCATAGTTTCTGCAGATCACACAACTCCACCACGTTGCGCTCTCTGGCTGACCTCATTAACACTAGCAACATAACTCCAGGTTGAGCAGAGAGAGGACCGGAAGGCCCGAGAGCGCCTGTGGTGGAGTTATAACTACATGGACTAGTAATTCATTGATGAACAGGCAAAAAGCTGCTGCCTACCCTCCTGTGTGGTTTCAGTTCGATTATTTGAAAAGTTTTCAAAACTGTCTACAAGGAATGATGAAAGTGTTTTCGAATTGGCGGCGACTACGCAAGCGCACTTCAAAGTGTTTTCAGGTGCGTGCCGTTTTTTGTCGTCTTGGCGTAAGCGGGTGAAATGATCTCACACCATGCAACTAACTTGCCATGCTTCAAGCTTACATGCACTGGTTTAGTGAGGTAGCACGCTCCCTCTGTGCACACTGCAAAGTCGGATTCAAGCAAAGAGATTACGCGGTGCGATCGTTTCAACACTGCTAAGAGAATGGTTTACGGCAGTCTACCTGCCACGTACATGCACGTGTTATGCTCAACCCTTGCGTGTGCACTTTCTCGTATTATCTGGTATTGTCTTGTAGTTATGTACGTGTTCGGCCCCGAGGACTGGTTCCACGTCAGAGCTGGATTTGAGCGGTACCAGTAAGTTAGTACTTTGAAGTACATGTACTTGTTGAGCATTATGGCTCGGCCTGATGAATGTATCTTTGTGGAATCCTCAATTTTATCTCAATGGTATAATTATGCTGTGACGGGGGGGGGGGGGGTATGACTGCTGTAGGGGGAAGTCGTTGTCCTGTCAGTTCATCATATCAGTACTTTACAGACAAGATTTACCAGTTTTGGTGATTTATGGCAAGGGGCACACACCCCAGGCTTTTCTCCTGGGTGTGTTGGCCACTCTGAGGTACTGGTACACCAAAGGCCTCAAGTAATGTTAACTTCACTTGGAAACTGAGATGACCATCACGCAATCGTTTGAGACATCCTGTCTGCATGGCTATGCAACGACTGTGTCTGCTTTTGGAATCCAGGGCAGTGACATCATTTTTTTATAATTATGCTACAAACTCAGTCTCCGGACAGCTAGCTGCTTCGACCTAGCAAGGCTTCCTCAGCGGAGCTCAGAGTGACCGGTCGAAGCCGCGGATGGCAATAGAGTCTAGTGAACAACTAGGCGACTTCAAATCACAATCATGAAAGCAGCACCAGCAGAGTGCTGTGACTGCGAGAAACACAAAATAATAGCTTTGTACTATCAATTTCTACACAATCCATACATCCTGTACACACACCTTGTACACACTCTCTCTAACGGTCTCTAGGCTACACTGCAATTGATATTATATTAGATCAAATTTTCAGGCAAGGCCCCTCCTGATGATGGGCCTTGCCCGAAAATTTGATCTAATGTATATCAATTGCAGTGTAGCCTAGAGACCGTTAGAGAGAGTGTGTACAAAGTGTGTGTACAGGATGTATGGATTCAAGTGTTGGCTACAGTGGAGTCTCCAAACCTTGAGAAAAGAATTTCTTCACAAGTATCAACACAGCTGTACACAGTGTGGGCTGTGGTAGCTGTCTTGGGTCTCACTGGCACGCACAGGTGTGTACTTCAACAAGGTAGTCATCTAAGTTCAAGCCTTAGCTCTTAGGTAGTCATCTGTTGGCTAATTTCACTTGTGACCTTTCCGACCAGTCACGATTGGTGAAGCATGATTGTGTCATTGCTTGTTTGTGCAGGCGAGAAGTGCCACGGGCCAAGGTGGCTGAGCTGGCTCGTGGGATTGGTCACACTCCGCTGTGGGAAGCCCCACAGGCCGCCGTGGACGTGCACCGCGACTTTCTAGACAGCGTTCAGTGATACGTGTGATTTACCCACGCTGCTGATCAACACTCCTCCAGCACTCTGCCGGTGGTTGGAGGGTAAAATAGTTACGTGTCGTCCGTCTGCTCTGCCGGTTGTACAGGAGAATTTACAGAGTGCGTACGGGCAGCAGCCACGTCTGTTGTTCGTGGATGCCGCGTAAGTTTGGCGTGTGTGCGTGTGTGTGTGTGTGTGTGTGTGTGTGTGTGTGTGTGTGTGTGTGTGTGTGTGTGTGTGTGTGTGTGTGTGTGTGTGTGTGTGTGTGTGACAACAAACCTGTGAACTCCCGCTGAAAAATTCCTAAGCCACGGGGAGTGCTTTTTACAACACAGCTACTGTCCGTGTAATAGTTTGGTACCTTAGGACATATCCATTCTGTTCTGCTTGAAGCAGACCCGGCTGTCGTATCATGACAATCAAACACTGCTACCGGGCATACTACATGCAGTGCCGGTCATCATGCGTAAGAGGAAGGACCAACGTGTTACGGGTTATGACTAACCATCCACCAACTCATAACATTCTTATCCTTCCTCTTGTACATGACTCCTGTTGGCTCAGCATCCGAGTTTAAATAAACCCATGTAGTAGTCATGGAATTATGCAATACATACCTGATTATTCCCGTAGCTATGCAGAAGACGTTACTTCAGTAACGTCTGGCGCTAGCCAGGGTCCACACAGCTTTAATTTGGTGTTTGTTTGTGTGTTTGTTTGTTTGTGTGCGCAACTTTGAACTGTTGAGTGGGAGAGCTTGTATAGCCACGCACAAATACGTCTTGGTAACTCAAATATGGAGTGGTTCCGGTTCACGGAACGACATTGCACTTGTTACTTGAAAGGATTAGGTGACTTGAAAAGGAGTGTCACCAGAAAACCTTATTTGAGACAAGGTTGAGACAAGTAGAGACAAGTAGAGGCAAGTGAAGCATGCAAAAAGGGAAAAGGCAGCAAAAAAGGAGCCACAGGCTCGCTGCGCATGCTCCGGGCTGAGAGCTGCAAAACGGTGCACGCGATGCGTGCAGCAAGACATCAGCATGACGTCAACATGATGTAACACATAAACAAATAAAGACATAATAATGAGCGTAACGCGGATTCGTGATGCATATTCACGACAGTTTGTGTCACGCCTGGCGCTATCCCGTATCTGACGGCAAAAAATCATAGGGATGTTATAAATTTTTCAATTCTCCTATTTTTTCAGGCATACTGTATCCTGGGATTCGAACCCGCACTATCGCCCTGCATGCATTCCCCCATACACTTCGCATTCATACCCATTCTTCCAAGTTGCTTCACGTTATGATCTTGCGTTTGAAAGCCCTATTTGAATATTGCGGGCAGCTGTATGTGGCCAACTGTGTTTGATGGTACAGTACGGGAGACGGTGTCGTATTACCCTCGATCGTACCTCTCCCGTACCTATCCCTACCGTACCGTACCGTACCATCAAAGACGGCTGGCCACAATGCATATTCAAATAGGGCTTTCAAATGCAAGATCATGAACGTGAAGCAACTTGGCAGAATGGGTATGAATGCGAAGTGTATGGGGGAATGCATGTAGGGCGCGATAGTGCGGGTTCGAATCCCAGGTTATGTCTTAAAAAAAAGGAATTTTTTAAAGACCGGGGATGCATGCAGGGCGCGATAGTGCGGGTTCGAATCCCAGGTTATGTCTTAAAAAAAAAGGAATTTTTTAAAGAATTTATAACATCCCTATGCTTTTTTTGTCTAGGTCATCAAGGCAAAAAAGCATAGCGTAGGGCCCTGAGCTTCCAAGCTCTCTCGGGGCCGGTCTCGAGGCAGGGCACCATTGTTTTTGATCCAAGAGTACCCGCGACTCCCCGGGTTCCCCTCAGATGTGTACGGTATTATGACGCAAAGATCCGATTCCGCTCGACCAAGACCCTATGCAGAGCTGGATCAGGCGTTGCACACTCTGGGGGGTTATGTACTCTTGATAATATACCTTCCCCGGGAGTGTTTTACTGCTGACGTCATGCAGGGACTCGATATCATAATATTATCGCTCGACATCGCGATATCGTCATAATAAATAATTTATTCCCGTAGCTATGCAGAAGACGTTACTTCAGTAACGTCTGGCGCTAGCCAGGGTCCACACAGCTTTAATTTGGTGTTTGTTTGTGTGTTTGTTTGTTTGTGTCACGCCTGGCGCTATCCGTATCTGACGGCAAAAAAGCATAGGATGTTATAAATTTTTCAATTCTCCTTTTTTTCAGGCATATCCTGGGATTCGAACCCGCACTATCGCCCTACATGCATTCCCCCATACACTTCGCATTCATACCCATTCTTCCAAGTTGCGTTACGTTATTATCTTGCGTTTGAAAGCCCTATTTGAATATTGCGGGAAGCTGTATGTGGCCAGCTGTGTTTGATGGTACGGTACGGTACGGGAGACGGTGTCGTATTACCCTCGATCGTACCTGTCCCGTCCCTATCCCCTACCGTACCGTGCCATCAAAGACGGCTGGCCACAATGCATATAACTCAAATAGGGCTTTCAAATGCAAGATCACAATGTGAAACAACTTGGAAGAATTAGTATGTATGCGAAGTGCATCGGGGGATGAATGCAGGGCGCGCGATAGTGCGGGTTCGAATCCCAGGTTATGTCTAAAAAAAAGGAATTTTTTAAAGAATTTATAACATCCCTATGCTTTTTTTTTGTCTAGGTCATCAAGGCCAAAAAGCATAGCGTAGGGCCCTGAGCTTCCAAGCTCTCTCGTTAATTAGTAGCATACCGGTATGATGAATATGTTATCCCGAACAACACACGCACACACACACTCTGCTCACTACTACACTAGTTTTTACTCTACACAGCCGTAGAGTAGGACTAGTAGAGGCTTTTGCTTACTGACCTCAACGCTTCAATTTCATACTACCCGTATTGCCATTTTTTTCCATTTTTCCATTTTTTTTATTTTAGTTTTTTTAAAGAATTTCTTTGCACGTGCATTCTATTAGGAACTAGAAACAATAAAGTGAAGCAAGTCGCATGTTCATAGGCTGGCTTCCCATTCCCCTTCTATCATGGCATCCATGCGCATCATGGGCCATGCAGAGTAGAACGATGGATTATTATTTTTTAAATAATTCCATCGTTCAAGTCGTTGCACATGAATGTTTGTGTGGAGTTACGGAGAACAATGGAGGGTGCCTTCACTGTACATTCATGGACTATGTTACCATGGTTACCTTTTGCCTCAGGGTGGGCGTAAGACGTTAGGACAATTTTCGGAACTTCCCTATTTCAAGTATTTGCTACGGTTTGGCGATCGCCACTGAAAAGTTGCCAAGGAAATGTTGATGCCTTCTTTCCCGCAACAGGCATGTTCAAATGGATGGTCGAAGACCATGGGGGGGGGGGGGGGGGTACTAGGTTCAAGTCCTACTTGGAAGCGGACGGGTTTTTTCCAGGCATGCTGCGACCCACAGTCAATTGGGAACGTGATATAATAATGTAATATATTATGTCTATCCAAGCGACATCCATCCATCTACAGCATTCACTTTGCCAGAGACTTTGACCAAGAGTACATACATGAGCATACAAATCGAATCCGTTGATCCCCGAGCTGCAGAGAGTGCTCAATGTCAGAGACAGAGCTTAGTACATAGCAGACTCAGCGGAGGACGTTCAGGTTGGTTGTAACTCTGAGTTTCATGCCGCTAGGCAATCATCAGACAACTGATACTCGGGTCTACCCAACAGTATGCTTATAAACATAGAGCCACAAGCATAAACAAATTTAGCGCTAAATCTGGTGTGAGGTATGGGGAGAAAGCTGGCGCGGGCCAAGGCGCGACAGGGGGAAGTGCCAGGATGGTGGCGGGCAACAGGCAGGTGTGAGCATGAAAGCGCGGAAAGAGGCGATGGGGAGGCAGTGTACAGCAGATGGGTGGAGGTGCCAGGAGGGTGGCGGGCAATGGGCCAGTGAGATCGCTACAAGTAGGGAGTCGTTTGGTGACGGGCAGGCGTGAGCAGAGTGGCATCGCCGACTACAGGCCAAGGGATTTTGTTATTAATAATAATGGGTGCTCAGGCAAAGTGCAGTACAGTACTTGGTCAGTTCATTTGATAGGTGTGAAATTTGCGAGGCGGAACTTATTCTCGTGCCTGCATTTCGAGACCATCTCAGACCGCTTGTTGAGTAGGAGCTTCTTGGGTGTAGTCAGGATGTGGAATTTTTCCGCGGTACAAAGATTGCATTTTTTTGACTCACATCTGTATGATCGGCTCTTCTCCCGCACCTTCCATGTAATGGTCAACGGCTTTCCCTCGCTCTTCAGCTCCCATACGTGTTTTGCGAGCTCAGTGCTGTTTTTGTATTTCTCATGACGCATGGAGGTCAGGTGGTTGGCGTGACGGGCTTTGAAAGGTGTCTCTGATAGGCCGATGTAAATCTTGCTGGTAGATTCTGCAGTGGCCTCATACACAATCTCCTTCGTCTGGCACTCTCCGCGCAGCGGGCAGGATTCCTTGATTCTACAGTTGCATGCCTTGGTTTGTTCTGGCTCTCGGAGGTTGCTCTTGTTGTGGCTGCTGATGACCGCTCCCATGTTGGGCATGCAACTGTAGCTCACTTTCAGAGTGTTACGGTTGAAAATCTTCCCGAGCTTGGATGTTTTCGGGAAGTGCCTGGAGACAAGGCTCAGGAACCTACCAGCGACGTTTGTGCTAACGTTTTTGGAGTAGGGAGGGTTGAACCATATGATCTTCCGGCTGCGGTTCTTCCTGCCCATGTGCTCATGTGCCTCGGGCTGAAAGCTCAGCACTTCGGTGTATCCACTGGCCTTTAATGCGGTCTGGTACACGGGGGCTGCATGGTTGAATGCCTCCGCGTCGCTCGATATAGCGGAAAGGCGCTTGTTGACAGCAGCAGGGATGTTGTTGGTGATCCCAGGCGGGTGGTTGGACTGCTTGCTGACGTAGAGCGGGTTGTCATTTGGTTTTCGAAAGGGTTGAAATTTCCCGGTGTCCAGGTTCATGGTGACATGCAGGAAATCCACCACCTTCAAGTTCGCTTCGATGGTAATTTTGAGGTCGAAGCGCTTGAAGATTTCCGTCAACTTTTTTCTGAGGCGGTCTGCGGCCTGTGGGCTGGTGTCCTTGAGGGCGGCCAGTCCATCGTCTCTGTAGAGGCCGATAGCGGATCTATCGGCCCGCGCCAGCTTTCTCCCCATACCTCACACCAGATTTAGCGCTAAATTTGTTTATGCTTGTGGCTCTATGTTTATAAGCATACTGTTGGGTAGACCCGAGTATCAGTTGTCTGATGATTGCCTAGCGGCATGAAACTCAGAGTTACAACCAACCTGAACGTCCTCCGCTGAGTCTGCTATGTACATGAGCATACATGTACGTGTACGCATAAACCTTGGTCCTTGGTAACACTGCCATCAAATGGTCACGTGTCCCCTGTGCAGGGGTCGACAGCACTGAGTTCAGCACTGGATCCAGAAACGCCGCTCTACCTCCTGGACAGGAAATTAGCACAGCTATGCATGTCGAAACCACAGGATGACTTGCAGCAGCGACCGCAGCCGAGACAATGCGCTCTGCAGCAGAGCAGGGCAACCCGCTGTT